AGATCCTGACTAAAAGGTCATAAGCAAACAAAGAAGTAAGTGGTTGAATACATAAATGGGGAAACAGACAAACCTCTCATGAAGAAAAATTCTGAATAATTTATGTAGACTCTCCAACTTCGAAGAGGTGAAACATTTAGCCAGGCATGGTGGCACATATGTGCAATCTTAGTACTTAGGAGGCTGAAGCAAGAGGATCATGAGTTCAAGGCCAGCCTGGACTGCATAGGAAGGCCCTGTCTCAAACCTACCCCAACCCCTAAAGGAAGTAAAGCCAACTTCCCTTAGAGTGGGCTTTGAATAGGGACTTTCTTCCCAAAAATCCAATATGGGAGGGGTGAGGGCAAAGTATGTTTATTTTGCAGAAGGCTAACATTACTTCGGGCAGGTGGATCAAGGTTAACATCAGTAGTGATAATTTGTGCTAATGTAATGATAACATGTGAGAATGATATCAATATGATAGCATAATGATAAAATATGTTAATTCAGTGTTCTGCATCATTAATATCATCTGTTGAGAATGGCACATAAGCTCTGTGGTCTTGCATCGAAAAACTCAGGAGAAAAATACTAGGGGTAACTCAAGTTGAAAGGTACTCTACAGAATACCTGGCCAGTCCTCCTCCACACTGTCAAAGTCATCACAGGCAGGAAAGTCTGAGAAAGGAACTGTTAGTCCAGAGGAGTGTGAGGAGACATGATGACTAAACAGTATGGTATCCTGCATGGAATTCTGGGACAGAAAAGGTTAGATTAAAAAATAGGAAATTTGGTTGGGTGTGGTGGCGCATGCCTGTAAACCCAGCACTTGGCTGAGGCAGGAGGATCACCATGAGTTTGAGGCCAGCCTGGACTACATAGTGAGTTCAGCCAGGGATACAGCTCAGTGGCACAGTGCCTGCCTGGCAAGCAATAGGTCATGAGTTCAATTCCTGGTACTAAAAAAAACAAAAACAAAAACAAAAAAAAAACGTGAGTTCAAGGTCAGCCTGAACTACACAGTGACACCCTGCAAGTTGAGGACTGTATCCTGGCAGTAAACAGGCAGATGTTTTGAAGGCCACACTGAGGCGGTTAGCACCTTGCTCTGGCACTGCCTTGCTTCTGGAAAGGGACCCACCATCCCCAGGCACGGGGCTGTGGCTGTTGGAGGTGAACCAGCACAGCCTGCTGGGCCTGACGCACTCTGAAGCAGTGTAGCTGCTGCGCAGCACGGGCGACACCCTCACCACGCTTGTCTGTGACAGTTTTGACACCAGCACCACCAGAGCCCTGGATGTGTCCTCGAGGTGTCATTGCCAACCCCTTTGCAGCAGGCATCAGCCACCAGGAGAGCCTGAAAAACACCCATCAAACTGGAGCTGAGACCCAGGGGCCCAGGCAAGGAAGAGGATGGGGCTGCAAAGGCCCCAAGTTTGAAGTCCAGAGCTCCTGAAGCTGGACTGCGATGCCCTAGCCACTGTTCCCAGAACTGGCAGCATGCCAATGGTACCAGCTATGGCAACCAGAGGAAGATGGGCAAGGCCCTCTGCTCTCCCAGTGACAATAGCCTCCCTGCTGGTGACCAAGGACAGCGCTACACAGCCATCCCCCCGGGCCAGTAGTTTCCCAAGCAGTCCTTCAGGAGTACCAGTACTTTGAGCCAGAGACATGGGTGCCCCAGGCCAAGAACCCTCAAAACACATCTCTGGTGGGTGCCAGTGACCTGTGGAAGATGGAGACTGCGAGCTGCAGCAGAAGACAGCACAGATGCTAGAGGAGGCCCCAGCCCGGCATCACCCCTGCCCATGGCAGTGGTGCCCTTGTGGATGGCCAAAACCAACTGGCACCATCAGGAGAGGTCCCACATGCTGAGCTCAGAGCTGCCAGCACCTAAGCAGGCCCTATCACCTGCGGAGAGCTGGGCCCTGGAGGCAAAGAGGTGGGAGCTGTGGAAGGGAGCTCAGATGCTTTCTGAACAGGACACCCTCGAGCACAGATGGTTCTCAGCAAGTCCCAGGAGGACCCCAGAGCATCTCACTCCCACCCCGAAGACCTCAGGTCCACACCAGAACCCTGTCAAGACACTTGTGGCCAGACTTTGCAAAGGAGCTGAGGTCCCTGGAACCCTCACCTACCCTCAACCCACAGGGGGATGGAGCTGTAGCCCTGTGCTGCAGGAAGGCTCTTGCCGGGCACACGAGCCCTGATGTAGCCCTGTGCAGCAGCTGCAGAGGCTTGGCCTGGGCCCTGGGCCTCCCGAAGGAGCCCCACCTCCCAGACTTGGGGTGGGGGCACTGCCAGCTCCAATACTACCCTTGCCCCGAGTCTTTGAACCAGGGTGTTAGCATTCTGGAGACCCCTCAGAAGCTCTGGCCTCTGACTCCTGCTGCCATACCCCTCCACCTAGGACCTCTTGGCAAGACTGTCACTGGTGTACAGCCAAAGACTCTATTTTGTGGTTTAAAGAAAATAGCTGATACTTTAAAAATAGCTGAAGTACTCTGTAACATATTCACATAGGTCTCACTGCTAGGCGGCTTAACCACCAGTGCTATGTGTGTAACTGTCCCATTGGGCAGCTTTTAATTTTATTAGTAAAAAGACAGATATAAATGATTATATCCATTTGTACAACTAGTAGAATAAGCTGCCTAATGGGACCATCATGCATTGACCTCTGGTGGTTGAAGCTGGTGGGAATGTGTTCAGATATGCTTAATATTCTTACAATAATAATTAGAGTGCTAAGAGACAGAGACTTTCAGCACAGCTAAGACTTTACAGTAGGGCACATCTGTAATTCCAGAAATTTGGGAGGCTGAGGCAGAAGGACTGCAAATTCAACCCCAACCTTGGGCAACTCAGGTGCTTAGCAACTGTCTAAAAATAAAGATCTGAAGATCAGGATGTTGCTCGGTTCAAAAGCCCTGGGTTCAATCCCCAGGATCACCCCCAACCCAGAAGTCTGAAAGCCGTAATATGTACCTCAAATTTCAAGTTATGTTTCTTAAATGTTCACTATGGCCCAATAAGACATGTTAAGGGGGAAACAAAGCAAAGCAGAAACAAGACAAAAACCATATATACACACTCTGACAACCACTGGGTTGCCCCAGATCACTAGGCAGAACATTTAAACCTGGCTGGTCAAAACAGCCAGATGCCTGTGACGTCCCCTATCCCATCAGTCTCCAGGTGATCCAGAAAAAAATGAGCACCTGAAATCACAATTTGTTTCCCCCAGCTGACTGCTGTAACAGAATGGGTTGGGCTCTAGCTTGGTAAAAACTACCAGGGTAAAAAAAAAATACAGCATTAGGGAAACTTAGGGTATCCCTCAATACAGCTCTCCTATTTTTTTAAGGAGAGCTTTAATACTTCATATGACTTCTCAAATTCATATAGCTCATGGCCAGTAGAAAATAAAATTCAGATTTCCTGAGTCAAAGATTTTTGGAGGAAATCTGCTCTTATATTGTTTGTTCCACTTTCATTAAATTAAACCAAACCTGTTTTTAAAATCTGCTATCCAAAGAACTTGCCAAAGCCGAGAGCTAGGTATAAACACCACATCGGCTTTCATCAGCTCACAGAAAAGGTCAGATCAGCAGTATTGCCCTTTATCTAATTTGTTTGGTACTATCATGGGCAAGTTACAGCTGGGATGTAGCTAAGTGGTGGAACACATGCCTAGAAAGTACAAGGCCCTGGGCTAAAACATTACAGTGATCAGTACCAGTGGGGCGGGGGGGACCACAAGTGAGTTTAAAGTGTAGAAATGGTGCAGAGCAAGGATTATTCATAATTAGCACAGCAAGACCTGGGGATGTAACTGAGTGCTGAAGCACTGGTCTTACATGTGTGACCCTAGGTTTGATCCCCACTATCACAAAAAGTTTTTGAGCATTTACATGCCAAAAGGGGAATTCATTCAATAAATACATCAGGAATTTAAGGTATTTTTTTTTCCACTAGAAATCACCACTAATACAAGATATGAAATGCTATACTTAGCTAAGTCACTACATGCTCCTAGAAGTGACACATGAAATAGGCCCTAAACAGTGGATAAACATAGCTGGGAGCAAAAATTAGGAGGCCAGGAAAATGAAGCTAAAGCGGCCTAAGGGGAACCCAGAAGTCTTAATGGGACAGGTTAAGGGAAATGGCCATTAAGACTGAAATGGACAAAACCTGTAAGTTATAAAGTTCCCACGAATGATAACATGAGACTTCCTTAGGCCAGAAAAGGAAAATCAAGTGATTTTACAAGTCAAATCACTAGACTTACTACTAGGGGGAAAGGCACATCGACAAAAATGAAGTTTTTGTACAGCAAAAAACCATAAAGAAGTCTGGGGACGCACCTCAGTGGCAGAGCACTTGCCTACCACGTGCAAGGCCCTGGGTCAGATCCCCAGCACTTCAGGGGAGATTTCCTAAGACCAAAAATACTGCAAATACCAATTGATTACAATTTAAAACTGTGGCTCATGAAGTGTTCTGTTTGTTCTCTATTCAGGGTGTTTGTTTTGACCAAGGCCTTTGCCCTGAGCTATAACTCCCTTCCCTTATTTTTTGAGACAGGGTCTCACTAAATTGCTCAAACTGAGCTCAAACTTTGCAACCTTCTGCTTCAGCCTCCAAGAGTGCCAGGATTACACACATGCACCACCACAACCAGGTTTCTCTTCAGTTTCTAATACCTATTTTTCACTCTCAGCATTTATTTCCTTGACAATTTTAGTTGTCCTCTCCTGTTCCTACCCTGTATCTCTCTATACATGTAACTCTTCAGAGCAGCCAAACTCCTCAGTATTATCGACTTGCCACATACACTGTTATCTCATTTATGAATCTCTTTAAAGTACTTTAGAATCTTGCAAACAGTTGAACCTTGAATTATATAGCCCTGTTGATCATACCAATATTCAAGTAAAATGGGGAAGAAGCACACTTACCAACTCCTCAACATAATCTCAGCTGCTTTAAAGAATAACACAAACCACAGAAACTCCCACAGGATGTGGCACTTTTATTTTAATGTGATCTCTGTACATCAGGAATATGAGAGGATACCTTTTACAAATGGAACTGATTTTTACGAGAAGAAACATGACAAAACCAAACCCGTATCTGATGTGATTCCGTGAGTTTATGCTTCAAATCCAGCCAGGAAGTTTGTGACAATCTCTTTCAGTTTTGCATCTGACTGTTCGGAGATCTTCCCATCAGCCCTATTTGGAAAGAGCAGATCATCAATTCTAACCTAGAAAAAAATTAAGTGACTAGCCTCACAGAATTTAAAAAGATTAAAACTTTACATCTTAAAATTTAGCTGTTTATAAAAGAGGACATCAACTGCATTCATACCTGATGTTGCCCAACAGAGCCTGGTGCTGGCTGACAACATGGGACAAGAAAGCTTGCTCAAACTTCGTGATCTTGCTAGGCTCCAGCTTATCAAGATAGCCCCTTACACCCGCATAGATAACAGCCACTTGTTCCTCAATAGCCATAGGAGCTGAAAAGGAACAAAAGAACATAAAATGAGTTGCTCAAACCAAGGAATGCCTTGGTTCCAAAGTCAGAAAGTCTTGCTTCCAATTACTGACATGTCCTTATGTATCGCCTACTCTCCCATTTTCAGCCAAGTCATAACTCCACCTAATAGTGCTTCCTAACCAAGGAATCACCTTGGGAATAACCCAGAAGCACTGCTTATAATCTGCCAGTGTTTACAGTGTTTTGACTCAAACCACTGGCAAAATAAAACCACATCAACATTTTTATAAATCTGCCAGTTCTACAGTCATACAGCCAGTGGAGTACGGGAACCTACTAGGACTTATTTCCTAGAAAGACATTAAAATACTTAGTAAGTTTTTCTAATTATTAACACTATAGCATTTACGTTCAAATGGTAATAAGGTCTGGACTTAAGTAAAATAAAGGTAAGAGACTTTGATAAAAGGTAAGAGCCTGCAAAATGTGATGTAGCTCTGTAGGCCCGGCAAGAATGAACATACAATAGGAACCTGACCAGATGAAGGAAAAGAACTCACAATACTGTCCCTGCTTTAGCAACTCAGTCAAACGCACACCACGACTCAGAAGTTGCTGAGTAGCAGCATCGAGATCAGAACCAAACTGGGCAAAAGCAGCCACCTCACGATACTGAGCCAACTCCAGCTTCATGGTACCTGCCACCTGAAATACATAAGTTATTGGTACCGTATCTCAATGACACAGCTCTATAAAGTTGATAATAAGATTTTAATCTAGTAATATCCCATGTTTTAGTTTAGATCTAAAATGTTCCCCAGAGCCTCACGTGTTTAGAAGGTGACTGATCTATAGCTGACTTGCTGTTGGGGAAGAGGGGCTGGTGTAGGGCTCGTGTGGGGCAGGTCACTGGGGTGTGATCTGGAAGCAAGGGTATTATTTCCCTCCCAGGCTCAGCTCCTTTCTCTGCCTCCTGGCTGTCATTGCTGAACACCTTTTACTCTGCCATCCTATTCCTGCCTTGCAGCAGCCAACCATGGACCAAAAAAAAACCTCCCCGAAGTTGTGACTGTCAGGTATTCTGTCTGCTATTCAGCAATAGCAAAGTGACTAAGACACCCATCCTACCAAACATGTGAAATTACCTGCTTCATAGCCCTGGTTTGGGCAGCAGATCCGACACGGGAAACAGACAAACCAACATTAATGGCAGGGCGGATACCTTTGTAGAACAATTCTGTTTCCAAGAAGATCTACAATGCAAGAATACACAGGAAGGGATCTCAAATTTAAGTGACCATGTCAAAATTAAAACTCAAAACTTGAGGATGAATGCGAGTATCCTCCCATAATATTGCATCCCTATAATCCCATACTGACAGACTGAGGCAGGAGGATGAGTGCAAGGCCAGCCTGTGCTACACAGTGAGACCCTATCTCAAAAAACCTTACTCCTTTAAAACAAAGAAACCCAACACAACAAAAGAGTTCTTTAAATCTCTCCCAATCCAAATTAGCCTACATACTCTGATAAAATTAGGAGATGCGCTTATGATAAGGAAAAAAATAGTAACATACTTGTATTGAAATAAATCTGGGAAATGCTTCAAAATTACCTAGGAGCAGAAAACAATAGCGAGTATAAATGAAATAAGAATGAAGCACACTATTACCATGAAACGATAATTGGGTGACAAATATATAAGGTTGCATTACATGTTTTGAAATAGGGGCTACGTAGCCCAGGCTGGCCTTGAACTTGTGGTGATTCTCCTGCCTCATCCCCTTGAGTGCTGGGATTATAGGCATGTGTCACCACCCTCAGCTTTGTAAGATTACTTTATCCTACCTCACTTCTGTATATATTTGAAATCTTCCATAATAAAAAGTGAACGAAATACCTGCCCATCAGTGATGGAAATGACATTCGTTGGAATGTAAGCAGACACATCACCAGCTTGTGTCTCTATGACTGGTAAAGCAGTCAAGGAGCCACCACCGAAAGCATCATTCATTTTGGCTGCTCTCTCCAGCAGCCTGGAGTGCAGGTAGAACACATCACCAGGATAGGCCTCACGACCAGGGGGCCGGCGGAGCAACAGCGACATCTGGCGGTAAGCAACGGCCTAAGATAAAGAAGAGAGCTGTGAGGTTCACCAACTAAAAAGCAGCTGTATTTGTCAACTTCCACTCTGTTGCAAACACAGATTATTAAAAAAATGTTTTCTTTGACCTGTTTGGATAAGTCATCATAGATGATCAAAGCATGTTTTCCATTATCTCTAAAATACTCTCCCATAGAACAGCCAGAGTAAGGAGCCAGGTACTGAAGTGGGGCAGCATCAGAAGCAGTAGCTGATACCACAATGGTATACTTCATGGCATCTGAGGAGAAAAAAGTTTTACATCTTACAAGTGTATCTGTACTGTGATTTACAATTACAGGCCACTACCATAAAGTATTACCTAAGAGATAAAAAGATTTGCTTTTAAGAATTAACACAGCCGGTGTGGTGGCGCCTCAGAAGGCTGAGGCAGGAGGACCATTGCAAGTTCGAGACCAGCCTAGGTTACAAAGTGAGCTCAAGGCCAGCCTGAAATGTGTAACAAGACCCTGTCTCAAAAGAGAAAATCAACAACAACCAAGAAAAAAAAAAAACTAACATTAATCTTGTTGGGCATGGTGGCACACACCTATTATCCTAGCACTTGGGAGGCTGAGACAGGAGGATTGGGGTGCAAGTTCAAGACCAGCCTGAGCTACAAAATGAGCTCAAAGCCAGCCTGAACTGCACAGAGAGGCCCTGTCTCCAAAAAAAATAAACAAAAACTGAAAAAAATTAACCCAGTCAGTCACATATGGTGGCACTCACCTTTAATTTCAGCATTTCAGGAGATTGAGGCACGAAGTTTTAAAAGTTAGAGCCCCACCTGGGAAACTAAGCAAAAAAGTACTCGGGTATTAACTCAGTGCCAAGGCCATGGGTTTAATCCACAGTACCAAAAAACAACCACAAACAGGAAAAACCTTTTTGGTTTTTTGAGACAGGATCTCAGCTATGTAGCTGAAGCTGGCCTTGAACACATGATCCTCCTGCCTCAGTCACCTGAGTACTGGGACTATAGTATACACTACCACATCAAAATAAAACCTTAAAATTTACTAGTGTTTTACGTTCTCATTTTTTTTTACTTGCTTATTTACATTAGGAAAGTTCAGTTTATCATAGAGCAATTAAAATCAGCCTTCACTAAGTAAAAGCTGCTCAAAGAACTGCAACAGCTTAAGATAACAGCAATGAGACTAAGTTTTTTAATACCTGCATCTGTAAGTCTCTTCACCAACTGGGCAACAGTGGATCTCTTCTGACCAATAGCAACATAGATACAGTATAGTTTCTTCTTTTCATCAGACCCATCATTGAAACGTTTCTGGTTAATGATTGTGTCAATAGCAATCGATGTTTTCCTTTAAGGAGAGAACGTAAACATAACTGTTACTAAATGTTTCAAATGATTTCTCAAGTATAAAATTTACTAGTACTAATCACACTACATTCTACTGTGCCTGCAATAGCCAAAGGATTAGCCATTCCAATATAGAAAAGTAATCTTTGCAGAAGTAATTGTACTTAGAAGTTATATTTTTGAGTCTTTACCCAGTTTGTCTGTCACCAATAATCAGCTCACGCTGACCACGCCCAATAGGCACTAAGCTATCCACAGCCTTAATGCCAGTCTGCATTGGCTCCCGCACAGAGATTCGAGGAATGATGCCAGGGGCTTTCAGGCCCACTCGCCTACGGGTCTTGGAACCAATTGGACCCTATAAAAAATAATAATATTTTAGAAATCAAGAGTAATCTTTAGAATATTCAATTTTGATGTTTGTTGAAAGCTGCAATATCTAATAAACATTAAAACCCACCTTTCCATCAATGGCATTACCAAGAGCATCTACCACACGGCCCAAGAGCTCCTCACCCACTGGAACATCCACAATAGCTCCTGTCCTCTTAACAATATCTCCTTCTTTAATTAGCTTATCATTCCCAAACACGACAACACCGACATTGTCCGGTTCCAAGTTCAGAGACATACCCTGCACAAAAGACACAAATGAACACCATCTTTATATACCACTACCACATGACATGCAAATAGCCAAGGAAAAAGTAGCATCTTCATTTTTATCTGGTTTACTTCTATGTATTTTTCCAATTAACAACCAACCTTCTTTGGTTACGATTTTTCAAGTAGCAACATGTTCCTTTGAATAATCTTAGGACAGCACCTATGGTAAGCCTAATGTGCACATTATCTCATCTTAAAAAAAGAAAGAAATTAGAAAAGTTGAGCTTTTCTTCAATGCATTTCCTTCAGTTATACTTTTTGAAGCAAATGATCAATATGAATTAATGTGATCAGAATAAAATGGAAATTTTATGATAAACCTGATTTCTATCTTTTATTCATAACAAGTTCCATAAGTTAAAAAAACCAGAACCTGTACTCAGGTTCATAAAAATAATTAAAAGCTATCCAATTATAGCAAACCAAGAACAAATTTTTAGTGGGGCAGGGTGGTGCACACCTGTGATCCCAGCTCTCTGGGAAGCTGATAAAAAAGAAAACTGCCGAATTTGAGCCCAGCCTAGGCTTAGAAAGACCCTGTCTCACAACAAAAATAAAAAGGGAAGGGGAATGTAGCTCAATATGAAGGTCCTGGGTTCAATCCCTAATACTGTGGGGTGAAAAATACATTTTTATAATGTAACAGGGCAAAGTTATATCTGATCATTACAACTGTATTTCAAATTGGTCAAGACAAAGTCTCTAAATCCTTTCTGAAGTACCAGTGTTACTCTAGAAAGTCTGCTGAGTAAGAGAAGATCTTGGGCAGTGCTTACAACAAATACAGAATAACACTGCAGGTACAGAAACTTTCTCTTAGTTCAGTGTGATGACATACACCTGAAATCCCAGCACTCACAGGGAAGAAGCAACAGGATTGCTACAAGTTTGAGGCTAGCCTGGGTGAAATAGTGAGCTCAAAACCAATCTAAACTACACATATAGCTGGGTGTGGTGGCTCATGCCTGTAATCCCAGTGCTCAGAAGGCTGAGGCAGGAGAATCGCTGCAAGTTCGAGGCCAGCCTGGGCTAAAAATTGAGTTCAAGACCAGCCTGAACTGCACAGTGAGCCCGTCTCAAGAAAACAAAAAAAAACTACATATATAACAAGACTCTCAAAACACAGAAACCTTTATGTTTAACACAGTATCAACTAGCCCCGTAGTTATCTAAATAGAGAACATTTAGACGTAAGTTGTAAAAAATTAGAACTCAGTTCTTCAGTTACACTAATCACAAAAAGAACATTTACATTTAAGTTTCAATCTCACCTTCCAAAACTATAAACAATGAAGGTAAGAGAGGCCATATTTTCAACCAAGGTTTTACAATTAAGGAGAACCCTATTACTAGTCTTCCACAAGTGGCTTTTTGTTTTTGGTACTGGGAATCAAACTCAGGACCTTGCACTTGCCAGGAAGGCACTTGTGCCACTGAGCCCAAGTGGCTTTTTCCATACTAGACACTAGTAAGAGGATCAACATCATCTCCCCTGAAATCCGTGCTTAGTGTATAGTCTTTCTGCACGCGGTTCACTTGGATAATCCTCTGCCTTCATCAGAGAGCACTGACTCCTACAACTAGGCTCAACCAAATACAAAGTAGACTTGTACTGTATTATTAGAATGTCTCACAGATATACCACCAACTCACCTTTCTATAATACAAAGTCACTGACTTTAAACTTCTCACCAGAAATTTGGTTGAGGTTATTAAATACTTTGGCATGAAATAATCTTAACCACTAGGACAGAACAGACTTAAACTTCTTGCAATTTGGATGATGGCATACTAAATTTCTTATTCTGGAGCCAGTGAACACAATTTATATGTAAATCAGCCTGTAAAACAGCTAGCTAAGTAAAATCTTTTAAATTTACTACCTTTACAAACAATCTGTAACAAGAGGGGAAAAAAATCATTTAGGGCAAACAGACACAAACCTGACACAACCTCTGAATTGGTAAATAAATACCTGAAGACAGATCCTAAAACAAAAGCTTTATTTTATTATGTACCTTTAAACCTGAAGAAAACTCTACCATTTCTTCTGCCTGAACATTCCTCAGTCCGTGTACCCGGGCAATACCATCACCAATACTTAAGACACGACCAGTCTCTTCAAGGTCAACAGAGGTATCAGCTCCAAGAATTCGCTCTTCAAGAATAGAGGACACCTCAGCAGTGCCTAAGAGAAGACAATTCAAAAAAAAAAAAAAAATCAACAAACAATAAAAAACCCTGGTCCTAAGACCTTTTTAAAAGCTTATTTCTCCAAAAAGCTGGGTATTTACTTCCATGAAAAGGAGAAAGTGATTGACAGGAAAAAAATGTTTTTCACAACATAAAAGTCAATCAAGCAAGAAGCTAATAAAACTAAACACCACCCTTCAATCCTGTCTCAAAAAGGCACACGCGCGCGCACACACGTGCACACACACGCACACACGTGCACACACACAAAAGCAAATGTGCCAGGTGAAGCAGTGGCAAGTTGCAAGTTTGAACTCAGTCTGGACAACTTAGTGAGATCCTGTCTCCAAAAAATATATATATATTATACGTATATAAATTTTTTTTTTAAAATAGGGCTAGGGATGTAGCTCAGTACAAAAGCCCTGGGTTTAATCTCCAGCAGAGAAACAAGAAGAACAAAAACAGTGTCTACAACATGTGTACTTTGTTTTCACCCGAGGGGAGTTATCAGAACAGAGCATGCACTGATACCAAAAGAAAATTACATAAGTGTAGTTCATTTCACTAGAAGAGAGCTTATCAAGACAAAGCTAAACGGCACATTATGTTTTAAGAACCTGAGATTTTGTAGTAAATAAAAATGAGGAAAAAAAATTAACAATGACAACAAAAAAATCTATCCACTATAGTTAGGTAACTTTTAATACATCTTCATTTAAAGTAGTAAGAGTGGCGTAGACTTAGAAATGACGACTTACCAGTCTTCTGAAGGTGAGCGTTACAGGCATGAAGATTCCTTGCAGCAATGAAAGATGATCCCAAAGCATTTTTGGACACCTAGAACAGTAACATTCTTAAAATTTTGACTTTTAAAACAGCCTTCATAAAACTGACAAGCTGGGTTGGATGTGGGAGAGTAAGCCTGTAATTCCAGCACTTGGGAGGCTAAGGTAGGAAGAATAGCAAGTTTGAGCCCAGTCTGGTCTACATTGAGTTCAAGGTCAACGCAGATTGGACAGCAAAATCCTGACTCAAAACACCAAAACTGACAAGCTTGAACAAATTCAGTTTAATTTGATCAAGTTATTGGTGAAAATATAAATTACACTTAAAGTATTAAAGAGTATTGCTCACATGGAAAAGGATTTATTTATTTATTTATTTATACTGCAGTTCCTGGCACACAATAGTGTAAAAGTATTTAACAGGCCAGGTACTGTGGTGCATGCCTGTTAAACCTAGCACTAGGGAGGCCAGTCTGGGTTATGTAGTGAGTTCAAGGCCAGCCTGGACTACATAGTGAGACCCTGTCTCAAAAAAAAAGTGTATTTTAAAAATGCAACCCAGAGCTGGGGATGTGGCTCAGTGGGAAAACTCTTGCATGCACAAAGACGGTTCAATCTCCAGCATAATCCCACACACACACACACACACAAATGCAATCCATAAACCATCCAAAATGCAACCATTAACAACTTGTAAGTATCTTTCCTTCTAAAAGCTTCCAGCTATTATTACTTTGACTTCAGACTTCAATTGAGTTGTGGTAATCCTCAACACAATTACCTTCTAAGGGGCAAATTGCTCAGGTTATTTTCCGATTTTACTTAAAAACGACAAAACACAAACTGGGAACGGTAGTACACTCCTGTAATCCCAGCACTATGGGAGGCTGAGGCATGTAAATGCCCAGGCCAGGTTAACTAGTCAATTTAGGGAGCCCCTGTCTCAGAACACACAAAAAGGGCGGATGTAGCTGAGTGAGGATTGACCCTGGGCTCAATCCCCAGTACTAAGGGGATGGGGGGGGGGGAATAAGAGTTCAATTAGCAACTAATAAGGCTGGCAAGCTGACTGTTTTTTATTGCCACGAACAAATCTGCAACCACCCTGGAACATGGACCTCTTTCCTTCAAGCTCGTTCTGATACTACCAGTGGTCACTGTCTATTCTGAAGCTACTACTCTGTAGGTAGTACATGAAATTCGTTACACTGTAAATGCTTTTTGCTAACAGAAAACCCAGATGCTACTAACTACAAGTAGAACAGGACAAAAAAAAAAAAAAAAGTGCATTCATTTCAACTTTCAGACGCATACTTTTGAATTGTCAATCACTGTCCAACAATTGCTCAAAACATCAGGTTGACAACTGAAGGGCAAATTCTTAAAGCATGTCAAGGAAGCACAAAGTAAAGCCTTCCTCCGATCAGGAGCACTGAGAAAGCGGCTCCAACGCTGTGCCGGTATCTGTCGCACAAAACGCTCCTCCGCACCAGTGCTGCGTTCCCACGCGGACTAGGACCCGGCACTAGGACCGCCCACCCAAGTATCCAAAAAGGCACCTTCCTCACTTCTTTGCTCTCAGGTGGACCTTGCGCACAGGTGAAATGCCGGGGCCTGCTGACCTTCACGCAATGTCAGGCGGCCCCGGCTGCGAGCGCAAGGCTCGCAGCGCTGCCCGACCTTCCCCGTGCTACACCCAGGCAATCAGCGGCTCTGAGCCCCGAGCCGTCCCCGGGGACCAGGGCCCAAGCCTTGACCTTCACCCGAGTCCCCTCCTCCGGCAGCTCTCAGGCCAAGACCGGGATCCTCCAGAGGCCCGTCTCCAGGCAACGTCGAGGCCACGACCTCCGCGGCACCACTCCGCGCCATTCTGCACCGGCAAAGGGGCCCCTGAGCCCCGCCGGCCCGGCAGAGCCGCCACGGAGCAAGATGGCGGCCCCCGCCACGGCCCCGCGCCTCCCTGCGGAGATCCCGAGCCCGCGCACACCACCTGCTGCCAAGCCTTCCTCCTGCCCGGGGCCGGCACTTACCAGCCCGGCCCGGCGAGGGAGGGCGCGGGCCACGGCCGCGGCGACGCGCACGGACAGCATCTTCGCAGCTTCTCGCAAGGTTCCTCCGCGGCCGCAGCGTCCGGACTGACTGGGACAAAATGGCCGAGAGACAAGGACAGTCAAAGCGGCGGCCCACCTGACCCGGAAGTTCCGCCCCTCGCTGCACCGCCGGGGGCGGCTCTGCCTTTGTGCGCTTGGCAGGTCACTTTTTCTAATTAAAAAAATTTTTTTTTAAATTTAGACCTCAAAACGACTGATTAGACCGTGGCCAGCGTCGGCTCTGGCATCTGTCATATATTTATTTCTGTCTTTTTGAGCCGACCTTGTGGGTTCCCCCTCCTCCAGTGAGTAGCGGAACCTGCAAGAAGCCGGCACCAGGATCGCACCCGAGCGAGGTGAACTGGGCGTCGTCCCGTTCCGCCGCCGCTGGAGGGACCCGCAGAGGGATTAGTAGTGGCAGTGGTGTTAAACCGTGGTGCTGTAGCAGTGGCGTGGCAACGGTCATCCCCCTGGGCGGCCATCTCCGCAGCGTCGGCTAGCCAGTGTGCTAATCAGCAGGTCGCCGGCCCCACTTCATACCCTGCAGCGAGATAAGGAGGCAGACGGCTTTAGGGGCGCACGCTTGTAATTCCACCACTCGGGAGGCTGAGGCGGGAGGCTCACCGCGAGTTGGAGGCCAGCCTGGGCTCTATAGTGAGTTCAAGCACAGTTTGAAATACTTAGCGAGACCCTCTCTCAAAAACAAGACAACAACAAAATAAATGAATATCCTATGATTTAGGAGAAAGACATGTTGTGATAGCCCTTATCCATACCTACATATCAAATCCTATATTATGAAAAGCTGTATATATGGATGGTCCTTGTAAAATGAAGCCAGCGTGGTGTTGCATCCCCATAATCCCAGTAGTATGAGAGGCTAAGGCAGGAGGATCACAAGGTTGAGCCCAATCTGGGTAATTTAACAATTTAGTGAGATTCTGTCTCAAAAACAATCAAATCAATTGATCAGTAAGAAAATAAATAAATAAATAAATAAATAAGGGTCGAGAGTGTAGCTCAGTATGAAGGCCATGGTCTCCATCCCCAGTACCACACATGCACACACACTCATAGGCAAAAATATAAAAACAGATAGAAAATTATACAACCTCTCGTAGTGTTAAATACAGAATGAGGAAGCCAGGCGTGGTGGTGTGTGCCTGTATTCCCACACTCGGGAGGCTGAGGCAGGAGGATTGCTTCAAGTTTGAGGCCAGCCTGAACTATGAGTGAGACCATGTCTCAAAACAAAAACGAAAACAAATGCAACAACAAGCAGAAACACCAAAACACCAAAACGACACCCAGAATTTGGAGGCAGATTTATTTATGTCAATGAGCACTGATTGGGATCATTCCTAAAATATCAGGCCCTGCTCTCTGGTGGTTTAGGGCTTATATGGGATGAGCAAGCAGGAAGTACAGAGGCAGAATGGCTTGTCAATCTGGGATCAGTTTATACAATGTGCATCATAGTGACCAGCTATGCATCACAGTGACCAATCGTTTCTAAGACCCAGAAGCAACCGGAACTGGAACAGGAACTATTACCTGGGCAACTAAGAAACTGAAATCTGTTGGTGCGGGGAGGGCATTTTTGGTAAACAAACAAAATCAGAGCGATAAAGGGAAGGAGAACTTTAGGGAAGGCAAGAAATGAACAGAAGAATGGTTGAGCTGCAGTGACAGTCCCAATGGATGCTGCTTTAAAAGATTTTCATGCACACACACACACAAAAATTGGTGCACATTTAGGTCATTAATGGACAAGCTTAAGATTGCTGTGGCTGCTACTGCCAGCTTAGAATTTTTTTAAAATTTAAGTTTATGCAGTCAATGTGAAACAAACCCCAATGTCTCTTAACCAAAATCCAAAAGCTTTAGGTATTTTTTTTTTTTTTAAAAAAGCTGGCTGGCGTGGTGGCACACACCTGTAACCCCAGCACTCAGGAGGCTGAGGCAGGAGGATTGTTGAGAGTTCGAGGCCAGCCTGCGTGACAAAGTGAGCTCAAGGCCAGCCTGACCTGCATAGCGAGACCCTGTCTCAAAAAGACAAGAAAAAAAAAGTTGACTCAAGCATGAAATGAAACACACGTGCAAGGAAAAATAGCCTGGTTCTAGCAGCTGTCCTTCTTGTCCACAAGATTATATACCACAGAGGCAGAGAGAATAGGAAAGGAGTAACAGAAGAGAGGCTTGCCGAGCCAGCGCCCTGGATCAGTCTTGTCCAAGGTCTAAGTGACCTAGAATCAGAAAAACCACAACTCCCAGAAATCCCGGGACAGCGAAGGGCGGGACCTACGGGGTGTGGGCGTGGTCACGCCACGCGGGCGGGACGCTCGAGCGAGCGGGGCGTTTCTCCCGCCGGGCCTTGCGCGGAAGTGGCGGGAGCGGTGGCGATGGAGGCGCGCGAGGAGAAAGAGGCGCAGGTGATGGGGCGGGAGCGGGGCTTTGCGGACTCCTGGAAACCGCATCTTTGACACCCTTGCGCTACCGGTGGTTCCCGTACACGCTAAGCTTCCTGTTTTCCCTCCCCTTAACTACACATTCTTTGCCATCTTCGAATCCCCCCGAAGAGGGCGTTTAGTCACTCTGTCCGTCCCTGGCTGCGACCCAGCCGTCGTCCGAATCCTCAGAGAACACTGCGATGGGAATTTGAACCCAAAGCGACCTTTGGTTTGCTGCCTCCACATCCACATATTAAGCTTTTTTTTTCCCCCGTGTTGAGCGTTAAAGGTTTTCCAAACGAGGCAGGTTTTTACCCTACACTGGTTTTGTAGCTTTATTTTTTTTTAATTTATTTTTTGTTGTTGTTTTTTTCGGTACCAGGAATCGAACTCACGACCTCGCGCTTGCGAGGCAGGCGCTGTGCCCCTGAGCTAAATCCCCAGCCCCTTGGTTTCGTAGCTTTAAAAAAAAGAATGGGTTGTTCTCTGGTAATTTTTAGTTTTGTACTGTTATCCATTGTGCTGGCCCAGTTTTTATTTCTTGTCATCAAATCACTTCCAAAAGACAGGATGTGAAGTAGGATGCCAGACTAATCAGAAAAAAAGGTATTCAGTTCACTTTTGGGCATTTCGTCATGGTTCCATCATGTCATTAACATAGCAATGAACAACATAACAATAAAAATAAGCCAGACTTATAATATTTGTCTTTCTTTTAATGGTTAGGTTGCTGAGTGGTTGAAAAAGATATTTGGAGATCAACCGATTCCACAGTATGAGGTGAACCCACGGACCACAGAGATTTTATATCACCTTGGAGAACGCAACAGGGTCCGGGACAGGGACGCCTGCCTGGTGATAGAGGATTTAAAACAGAAAGCAAATGAGTATGAATCAGAAGGTGAGATCTAGGTCTAGAGGAGTTTTTTTTGTTTTTGTTTTTGCCATACTGGATTGAAACCAGGGACATGCTACAGCTGAGTTACATCCCCAGCATTTTTTTTATTTTTTGAGACAAGGTTTTGCTAAGCTGCCCAGGCTGGCCTTCAGCTTTCCATCTTCCTGGCTTAGCCTCTAAATCTAGAATTTTGCATGAGATGATGAATAGAACTAAGCAAATTTTATAACACTAAGGTACATAACATTAGTGTGGGCTATTTACTTTGCTTCTTTATTTTACCCAGATTTATCTTCCACTGTTATCTTAGTATTAACTTTACAAATCATTAATTTCATTATACTCTTTTTTTTTTTTTAACGCAATTCTGTGTTTCCAACCGAGAGAGCATTGAGCTACATCCCAGCCTTTTTAATTTTGACAATCTTCCTCCTTTGCCCTGGCTGGCCTTGAGCTTTCATTTCTCCCACTTTATCCTAGTGGCTGGGAGTACAGATGTGTGCCATCATACACAGCTGTAGTAAATATTTTATTAGTACTCCAATAGCAAAACAGTGAACCCTAAAACATGAGACTAGCCAGGCATGGTGATGCACACCTATAATCCAGCTACTCTGGAGGCTGATGGAGCTAGAATAGTTTGCAAGTCCCTGGCCAGCCCTAGCAACTTGGTAAGACCAACTCTCAAAATAAAAAATTAAAAAGGGCTGGAGATGTAGTTTAGTGGCAGAGTGCATGCCTAGCATGTAGTAACATATGGGTTTAATCCTTGTACCACATACACAAAAAGTGCCTAAATTTAGCTTAACACACAAGATGCAGTGATTTTTCCCTTATGTTTGTTTAGTCTGTTTCTAACCCTCATGCCTTAGTCATACAAACCTTTTCTTTTACATGTGGATAACCTAGGTCCTTAAATATATTTCAAGTGTTATGCCATTGAGCCCTTGCCTATATCCTTCTATTGCATTCATTTAAAAAAATTTGGGGGGCCAGGGTTTTACCTGAGTGGTACAGCATCTGCCTGGCAAGTGTGACGTCCTGAGTTCGATTCCTGGTACCCAAAAAAAAACCTTTCTTGGCCAGACAAGGTGGCACACACCTGTAATCCCAGCACTTGGAAGGCTGAGGGAGGAGGATTGCTGTGAGTTCTAAGCCAGCATGGGCAACAGAGTGAGTTTAGGAACACCTTAACTACATAGTGAGACCCTGTCTCAAAAAACAACAACAAAAATTATTAGTGTGTTTGCAATAGGATACATTCATTGTGGTGAGTTGGTACATGCATATTATTTCCTCTTAATCTTTTTTATTTCACTGTCCCTTTTCTCCTTGCCTTCTCCCTCCGTCACTAGATCCCCTTCCCATCTGCAAAGCATCTACCCATTTCTATAATCAGGCTGGCCTTGAGTGCACTTTGTAGCCCAGTCTGGTCTCCAACTCACAACAGTTCTGCTCAGCCTCCCAAGCGCTGAGATTATAGGCATGCACCACCACACCGGGCAAAACCATGTGACTCTTAACATCTGTGTCTGACTTATTTTACTTAGCATTCGGAGTCTCAAAGTGCATCCATTTTCCTAAATGTGCCTCAAATTTATTCTTCTTTATGGCTGAGTAGAGGTCAATTGTGTATGAAAACCACACTTTATCTATTCATCTGTTGATGGACATAGGGACATACAGGCTGCTTCCAAGATTTAGCAGGATTGAGCAGCTATAAAATATATTCACTGTAGTACGACATCTTTAACTCTTGCAGAGATACCCAGAAGAGGTAGAGCTGAGTTGAATGTGATTTCTGATTTTAGGGGTTTTTTTTTGAGAAATCTCCATAATAATTTCTACATTGATTGTACTAGTTTCCCACCAGCAATGTAGAAAACCTCTACAGTGTATGTTGTTTTTTGAATTCTTGATAATAGCCTTTCTTCCTGTAATAAGATGGAATCTCAATGTTGTCTTGATGTGCATTTCTCTACTTGTCAAAGATACTTTGACTAGAAACTTTTTCTTCCTTTTTTTTTTTTTTTTTTTTTGGTTTTTCTCCGGTACCGGGAACCGAACTCACGACCTTGCGCTTGCCAAGCAGGCGCTTTTGCCGCTGAGCTAAATCCCCAGCCCCTCTTCCTTTTTTTTTTGAGGCAGTCTTGCTCTGTAATTTAGGCTGGGTTTAGACTCACAGCAGTCCTTCTGCCTCTGCTTCCCAAGTGCTGAGGTTACAGGCATGCACTGCCACAGCCATAAACATTTTTTCTTGTAGTTATTGGCCATTTGTGCTTCTCGTTATGAAAAGTATCTGTTCCCCATTTTTTGATTGAGTCTTTTGTTGAGGGAGTGTCTAATTCTTTAGACTTTTTCGTATGCTCAGGATATTAGTTCTATGTGCAAGCAGTAGCTGACAATTTTTTTTCCCATTCTGTCAGTTATCTTTTCACTCTGTTGGTTGTTTCCTTTGGTGTGCAGAAGCTTTTTAATTTGATATAATACCATTTATTGGTTCTTGGTATTATTTCTTGTTCAGAAGGTTCTTGCCTATGCCTATATTTTCAAAAGTTTTTCCATTTTATGTTCCAGGAGATTGTTTCTTTTTAATATTTAGGTCTTTAATCCATTTTGATATGGTTTCAGTACAAGGTGAAAAGTATGGTACTAGATTTATTCTTCTGCATGTAGTTAACCAGTTTTCCCAGCACCATTTATTGAAGAGGCCAATGTTTTTGTCCCCTTTGTCAAAGATCAGATGGCTCAATGTGCCTGGGATTGTTTCTACATTGTCTGTTGTGTTCCATTGATCTGTATGTCTATTTTTGTGCCAGCACTATGCAATTTTTACCACTTGTAGCTTCCTAATATAGCCTGCAATGAGATTGTGATGCCTCCTGCTTTGCTCTTGGTGCTGGGAAGTTGGGTATCTACATGTACAAGACTGAATTTGGACTAGGTATGGTAGCACACACCTGCAATCCCAGCTCTTTGGGAGGCTGAGGCAGGAGAATTTCAAGTTCAAGTCCAGCCTGCTGGGCATCTTACCAAAACCCTGTGTCAAGGGACTGGGGATTTAGTTCAGTGGCACAGCATCTACCTGACAAGCACAAGGTCATGAGTTCGATTCCCGGTACCGGAAAAAAACTAAAAGCAAAAAAAAAAAAAAAACCAACA